CAACAAGTCGTTTTAGTGGAAGTTCTGTATCCGGGGGTGGCTAGAGGTCTTAAATTTGGTTTACATAATGCTTGCGTTTTGAAGTACTGTGCAATATTACTCCATGCCAACATCCTGTACGTTTTCCTGCCTTTCCACGCGTCCTCTCGTATATTTAAGTTTGAGCATCAATGGTGGTTTGGCTTATTATGCGCGAAATACTTGGGTGTATGCATCTCCCAATGTGATGGCGCCTACATGAACTCAATAAATAGGTAGGTCTTGCCCGTGTCCCTCGCCACAGGGGCATAGGAACAGATTTGTTTAACAACTGGCGTTATCATTCTCTGGCGTTCTCGGAGTTCCACCGCCCGAGAAATACGACCAGCGCATGACCAAAGTAGGCGGATACACGCCACGAAATCCTACCGAATCCTGTATGAATGTGTGACACGTGGAGCATTGTATGCTTGATGACAGCCACGGAAGGCCATCGAACACTCACATCGGGTCGATAACCTCCCTCGGTTGTATTATCCACCCTTCGCCGCCCCGCAACTCATTGGGTGTGAAGTGAGCCTGCGGGTACTGTAGAGCCTGTGCTCCTCGGCCAAAAATTAGTTTAAGCCTCTTGAAGCATGGGCAAAAGCCTAAAAGCCCCACGCGGGGCTCGAACCCGCAGCCTTGAGATCCCGTAAATAATCATTGCAAATACGGTAGTTCACCTGCTTCAACAGGCTTTAGTTCGTAAAAGTCTCACGCTCTACCGATTGAGCTAGCGGGGCTTGTAGTTGAGATAGCCGAGGAACCTCCGATTGGCTGCGCGCTTGCCGGTTGATCAGGGCCGGTACCGCCGAGCCGATCCCCATGTGGAACCTCGGTGGCTATCACCGCTCCATCTTGGACTTGCCACTTCGAGCACGAGGCAACGAGTCCCGTGTGGAATTCCCCTGCCAGTCGTATCTCTATATGTAAATGGGGGGCAGGTGAGTCTTCTATCGCGTGATTCCCACGAAGCAGTTTATATTTCGGTGGCCAGCTGAGGCAACCCGTCGTTTCGCCCCCCTCGCGCGATGAATACCCTGTGCTCTTCACTTCTTGAGAGGGGCTTTTGCCTCGATGATTCGTGCCAGCAACTACATGACACGTCGTATTTTTGTTCAACTTGCCGTGTTGCACCAATTTCCGTGGCGGCGTACAATGCCCACATTCAAACTGCCGCGCATCGATGAGCCGAAGGTAGACCGCAGTGGTTGCACTGCGTACTCTGCGACCGATACTACAAACGGGGAAGTCTTGAACAAACGAGCCACGAGACCTCTAGCCGGCATCTCAAGAGAACCTGTGCGGATAACAACACCACCCCTTCTGTGGAAGTACGATCGCCGCCAAATACGGTGAACTGCGAAACCTGCAAGGACTCGATGCTGTCCCGCGCGTATGATCAACACTGTCGTACCAAACGGCACATCTCGCGCCAGCTGGTGTTCAACTATCTAAACGCTGTTGCTCTGACCCAATGCAACCGAAACGGAGTGGATGTGTCTGGCGACGAGAGTGGACTGGACTTGGGTGTCTGGACCCCTACGGAGCCCACTAGTGAACCTGTCGTCATCCATATTTCGAATACGCTCGCCACGCCTGCATCCTTGATCAAGGCGCGAACTTCGGCATCACTGGGTGTACGCCTGGGCCTGCAGCTATGGTAAGCTCACATCCATTACAAACCTGCCAGCCTCCTTCTAATAGTTACCAGCTTTACTGTGACCACTGTGTCGCTTCCGGTTTCAGTCGAGTTGAATAGTAGCGTGGAAGTTCAAGTTCGTTTCAATCCCCTTGAGCGACGCGGCCGCTTCGAAGATCGACTTGAGCTAGTGTTTCGCGGTGCCAATGGCGATATTTTCATGATTACTCGCCCCCTGCGAGCAGTCGTCGCAAACTCTGATATAACTCTCTTGGCACCTGTTGCACCGTATCGGCGTCAGCGTCTTGCTCGCGAGAGAAGCGCCAAAACCTGCGTCGTTGAGGGGGGAGAAGATGTATTCCCAAAAACAAAGTACAAGAGACGACTTCCGCCAGCAGCCATACCAAACGACCTCGAGCAGCTTTTGAGCCAGGGTGCGCTCGACCAGCAAGTCCATGAGTTCAAGGATAGATTCATGCCCGAGAACCTTGTCCAGGAGTCGTACAAGCGTTATTGGTCAAATTTGGTGCATGCTGAGCATGTCCAAGCCAAGTGGGTACTTATATGCGTAACTAGGGTTGCCTGATCTAACGGGGAATCATCTGTTCTAGAATTGATTTGAGCAAGTTTCATATGGACGACGTAACTTTGGTCCGACAAGGCTCTTTATACGGGTGAGT